GACACACAGGGCGGGGGACCCTCAGACACACGACACAGACACACGGGTGAGGGACCCTCAGACACACGGCACAGACACACGGGTGAGGGACCCTCAGACACACGGGGCGGGGGGCCCATCCCGACAGAAGTTGCACAGGCTGAGGCTGCTCGACCGGCCAACCCTCGACCGCGTGCCGGTCTCGGTGCAGTTGTGGGCACTGCCCCTGAGGAACTTTGGTTTCTAAGGGGAGACCTGGCCAAGTCATTGACATTGGACTTGCAGGTAAGGCGTCAGGACAGCAGCTCTCGACGAAGGAGAAGCAGCCCAGCAGGCCTCCCGGAGGCAGCGGCACCATGGGCAGGGAACAGTGTCCCGGGGCCATGCACAGGTAAGCGTGCGGCTGTGCGGAGCCAGAGAGAGGGATGGGGCGTCCAGGGCCGCAGGCAGGTTCCAGACAGGGCCCATTCCTCACCAACCCCATGAGTCTCCCCAGAAAATCCTCACTGACAGGTGGGTGACAGCAGCGTTTTCAGTCAGCCTCTTGGAGGTGGGAAAGGAGAACGAAATCTAGGGACCTAAAACTCACTAAGTCAAAGGGAAAGTCAAGCTGGGAACGGAGTCACACACAGCGCCTCCCATGTCTTCCTCCGTGGACGGCCACAGAGATGAAATGCCCTGTGCCCCCATCGCCAGCTGCTCACAGGGAAATTCCTTGTGGACCCCAAATCTCGGCTCTGAAACAGTTCTGCAGAATCTCAGAAGCTTAACTTCCCCAGTACAGGACACAGGACAGAGCTAAAGTCACCTTCCACCCACGAGGCGAAGGCACGCCCGCCGGCTTCCCGGTCCCTGTGGAAACGCAGGGTCGCCGGCGTGGGGCTGCGTCTCACTCGCCCACCCCACCTCCCGCCTTTCAGGACGTGCGTTTGGTGACTGCTGACCAGACTTAAAGGAACACAGCGCTTGCCTCTTTTATCCGCCTGCCCTTTTCTTTCCCCTTTATTTTTTTTATTTTATTTTTATTTTATTTATTTATTTATTTATTTATTTATTTTGAGACGGAGTTTCGCTCTTGTTACCCAGGCTGGAGTGCAATGGCGCGATCTCGGCTCACCGCAACCTCCGCCTCCTGGGTTCAGGCAATTCTCCTGCCTCAGCCTCCTGAGCAGCTGGGACTACAGGCACGCGCCACCATGCCCAACTAATTTTTTGTAGTTTTAGTAGAGACGGGGTTTCACCGTGTTGACCAGGATGGTCTCGATCTCTTGACCTCATGATCCACCCGCCTCGGCCTCCCAAAGTGCTGGGATTACAGGCGTAAGCCACCGCGCCCGGCCCTTCTTTCTCCTTTAAATATAGAAGTCTCCAAACCCTCTTTGGGGTTTTTTGGTTTTGGTTTTGGCTTTTTGAGACGGAGTCTGGCTCTGCTGCCCAGGCTGGAGTGCAGTGTCTTGATCTCAGCTCACTGCAACCTCTGCCTCCCAGGTTCAAGTGATTCTCCTGTCTCACCTCCCATGTAGCTGTGATTACAGGCGCGCGACACCACACCCGGCTGATTGTTTTTTGGGTTTGTTTGTTGTTGTTTTGTTGTTGTTTTTGAGACGGAGTCTCGCTCTGTGCCCAGGCTGGAGTGTAGTGATGCAATCTCAGCTCATGGCCACCTCCACCTCTCCAGGTTCAAGAGATTCTCCCGCCTCAGCCTCCCAAGTAGCTGGGATTACGAGCACCACACCCAGCTAATTTTTGTATTTTTAGTAGAGATGGGGTTTTACCATGTTGGCCACTGGTTTTGAACTCTTGACCTCAAGTGATCCTCCTGCCTCGGCCTCCCAGAGTGCTGGGATTACAGGTGGGAGCCACCTCGCTGGGCCTCCAAACCCTCTTTGGAAAAAGCAGACCACAGATGTTTCCTGTAGCTTGTGCCCTTAACCTTGGTAAAATACATCTCTGAAGTGATTGAGACCCGTCTCAGACACCTTCTGGTTTACAGAGGTAAGAACAGAACCGGCCACCGGGACCAGTGCAGGAGCCTTGCTTCCTGGGCTGTGGCAGCCTCCGTGTCCCACCTGCTGCCCCTGAGCCCCCAGCCCAAGGTGGGAGGAAGGGCCGCCCTGCTCGGGGTGGGCACACGGTGCAGCAGCAGAGCTCCAGCCTAGGCCATGGCCTGTCTCTCCCGCAGTACCAAATTCCCAGGGAAGGGGCCCCACATGAACACAGGGGTGGAGTCACAGAGAAGCCAGCTTCAGCCAGGGGGTGGCAGCTGTTCCCCGCCGCCCGCCAACGGTAGGGACCAAGCATGACTCCTGGGCCCCAAGTCCCTCACAGAGTGGGTGGGGGGCGGCAGCACGGGAGGGGCCAGAGCCGAGTCAAGCAGCCACACTGCAGGTGCAGAGCGAGGCGGGAGGCTGGGCGCGGGTCACGTCCTGCTGCAACCCTGCAGGGCTGAGGCCAGGTGCAGACACCACCGGGTCCCCATGGAATTCCGCCACAGTGACTCACACTGCCACTCCCCACAGACCCCCAGCCCCACAGCAGAAGAATTCTGGCTTCCTGTAAGTGGCTCCCATCTAAAAGATGACCCAAGCTGGGCACAGTGGCTCACGCCTGTAATCCCGGCACTTTGGGAGGCTGAGGTGGGCAGATCATCTGAGATCAGGAGTTTAAGACCAGCCTGGACAACATGGCAAAACCCTGTCCTATTAAAAATACAAAAAAATTAGCCGGATGTGGTGGCAGGTGCCTGTAATCCCAGCTACATGGGAAGCCGAGGCAGGAGAACCACTTGAACCTGTGAGGCAAAGGTTGCAGTGAGCTGAGATCGCGCCACTGCACTGCAGCCTCGGCAACAAAATAAGACTCTTGTCTCAAAAAAAAAAAAAAAAAAAAAAAAAAAAAAACCCAGAGTGAGTGTTATGGGGATGAGGGTGCCTGAGGACTCCATGGGGGCTGGGATGCAGAGACAGCAGTTGCTGCCCCTCCTCTGGCCCAGGACCCCGCCCCAAACTGCCCTTGGTCTCTCATCCCAGGCACCTGCCCTTGGTCTCTCATCCCAGGTGCCTGCCCTCGGTCTCTCAACCCAGGTGCCTGCCCTTGGTCTCTCAACCCAGGCGCCTGCCCTCGGGCCTCTTCTGGCCCTTCCCTCCCCCGGGGCCATCTCAGCCCCTGCTTCCCCTGGTCGGAAGCCACCTCCCCAGCCTGCTTGGCCCCATGTTCCAGAAGGAACCGCTGCTGTGTCCCACTCGGATTGCGTGTTCGTGCCATGTGGTGTTTGTGCCGTGTGGTGTCCGTGCCGTGTGGATGCTGCCTAGGTGTGAACCTCGGGACGGACGCAGGCTCCAGGGAGCTGCAGTGTGGCTGGGCGTATGCAGAAGAGACCAACCAGCTCCACTCAGCATCTCCTTCCTCCAGGGAGTCTCCCAGAGGTGCCTGTCCGAGGGACAGGGAAAGGCAGGGCCCCAGGAGCCAAGGCTGGAAGCTCAGCCGCCACTCAGCCTTTGCAAATGGTCCAGTGGGAGCAGCTGGCCTCTGGGGAAGGCTGAAAACTCCAGCAGGGCCCAGGCAGGTGCGGACTCGGGAGGAGTGGAGGGAAGCCTCGCCGGGCCCGCCTTCCTCTTGCCCCTCCACTATGTGGCCCGTCCAGAGCTGCTCTCTCTTCCCGCCCCCGACTCAGGCCTGGCTCCAGACAGTCTCTTCGGACCCTGAGGCCCAGGGCTGGGGGGCCTGGAACAAGACCAAGAATTCTCTGGAGCCAGAGGGTGGGGAAGGGAAGGAGGAGAGGGAAGGGGAGGCAGAGGAAGACCAGGACGGAGATGAAGGCTTCCTGCTGTCTCTGCTGGAGCAAGAGAGTCTGGCTGAGTTCCCCATGCCTGACCAGGTAACAGCAGTGTGGAGGCCCTGGGGACCTCAGGGGACCTGGGCCACGGGGGCTGGTGGAGACACAGGGTCTCCGTGACAGATGGTTGCAGCTGATTTAGGAGGGGAGAGGAGCCCCCAGCCACACAGACCGGAGGAGTCAAGGTGGCCTTTCTGGCCCAGAGAAGGGCCCTTGAGGTGGGGGTTGCAGGGGTGAGTTTGTCACCCCAGTCAGCTGCCCCAGAAAGTAGTGTCCCTGCCAGAGAAGGGCTGGCTGCCCCCTTAGGGTGTGACCCTCAGCTGGAGCTGGCAGGCCACATGCCTGTCCTCCTTGGAGCATGCCTGCTGGCTGCCTGCCCCGCTCAGGAACGCGTGTCCGCAGGAGCTGGAGGCCATCAAGATGAAGGTGTGGGCCATGGAGCAGGCCGAGGGGCTGCCTCAGCCTCCAGGGGCACAGCGCCGGGAAGAGGAGGACGCTGTGGCGGGGCAGCTGCTGAGCCCCGAGGCAGCAGGTAGGAACGAGGGCCCAGGCCGGGTCCCGGAGTTTCCGTGAGGGTTGGGCCTTGCAGGCCCCACACGCCGGGGCGACCTTCCCGAGAGAGGAGTGAGGAAGGAGCCCAGGGCCTGCAGGCTGAGCCATGTTCTCCGCAGGCCACCCCATCCCTGGGACCCCCGAGGAGAAGGTGGAGGCTGACCACAGATCCGTCTATGTGGGCAATGTGAGTGTGGGCAGGGAAGTGCAGGTGGCAAGTGGGGCCCCTTCTCTTCTGGGGGTCCAGCTCCCTGCCCCAGACAGGCTTGCAGGGAAGGGGCTCTGATGCTGGGGGCAGCCAGGCTGTCGCCTCGAGGAAACGCAGGCCTGGGCCTGAGTTCTAGTTTGCCCACATGAGCTGGAATTCAGGACTGCACATGAAATCTCCAATGTGGAGCTTTTTAAAAGGCTCCAGCCCTCAGGAGGGAGTGCGCCACATGAGATACGCTTTCCTCTCCCCTCCCTCCGTGGGGCCCAGTCTTGGGGTTTCTTCCCCCATTTCTACCAAGAAAGCCCCGGGAGAGGCCGGCGTCTCCCTCACGTGCGGGGCTGGCCTGGGTCCCGTCCAGGTGGACTACGGGGGCTCGGCGGAGGAGCTGGAGGCCCACTTCAGCTGCTGCGGGAAGGTCTACCGAGTCACCATCCTGTGCGACAAGTTCTCCGGACACCCCAAGGGGTCAGTGTGGGGCCTGGCGGGGTGCTGGCCATGCGGACAGGCCCTGGCCTCACCCCTCCCCTCCCCACCCCCCAGCTATGCCTACATCGAGTTTGCCACCAAGGGCTCTGTGCAGGCCGCCATGCAGCTGGACCAGAGCCTCTTCCGCGGCCGCGTCATCAAGGTGCGTCGGGGTCACCAGTTCCACAAACGTGGGCACGGAGGGGCTGGCCCCCTGGCCCTGGGACACACCGCAGCCCCAGCACAGCGCGTCTCGGGCATGGTGGGCGGCTGGGCCTGGACAGGGTGTGATGGGACCCTCAGACCTGAAGCTGGTTTGGTCTGTGAGTGGCGTGGTGCAGCAGGGACCCCCCCGCAGGGGTGCTGGCTGTGACGGTGTCACGTGACCACAGCGGTGGTGGGCGAAGGCAGAGGGACCCTGAATGGCATCCTGAGCTGGGCAGGACCCCCTGCTCCGGGGTGCTGGGGGCTTCGGGGCTGCGGGCTGGGTCCCAGCTGCCCCTCGAGAAGGACTCGGTACAGGCCTCTGCTCCAGGTGCTGCCGAAAAGAACCAACTTCCCTGGGATCAGCTCCACAGACCGCGGGGGCCTTCGAGGACACCCGGGCTCCAGGGGGGCACCCTTCCCCCACAGCAGCCTCCAGGGCAGGCCCCGGTTCAGACCACGAGGGCAGAACCAGTGAGTGGGTGCCTGTGGGGGCAGCCTGGGGGTGAGAGCCATGGAAGGGGGGCCGTTAGGGTCTGGGGATCAGGGACAGGGGCGTGTCTACAGGAATGTACCTGGCAGGGCCTGGCTGAGGGCTGGGGTGGGGAGGGCTTCTTGGAGCCTCTCTGCTGGGAGACAGGATCCCTTCTTGTTCCTACAAAGGCTCTGGGGTGGGCTGCAGCTGCCCCAAGGGGCTTTCCTGGCACCGTCCCAAGAGAGCAGCTGGGAGTCACCAGAAAGGCCCCCTGGGGCATCGGTTGAGCAGCCAGGTGACCGCCTGCATCCTTATCCTGCTGTCCTGGGAGGCCTTAGGCAACCTCCCAGCTTCCCCTCTGGAAGGCCACTCACCCTGCCTTCTCTTTCTGTGCAGGGCACGTGGAAGAGTCTCACCGTGGTTCTCACCGTATTAATAGAAGGGCCTGCTTTTGAGAGAGGGACTGGGGGCTGGGTCCCAAGTAAACCTGTTGTGCCCCATAGGGGGCTGGGGCTGGTGGGGAGTGGGGTGGGGGCGAGGCCAGAGGAGAGGGGTGTCCAGAAGAGCAGCCGTGGGCCCCCCACTTGGCCAGAGGGGAATGGTCCATTAGGGGAATGGTCCACTCATGGCCATAGTCATGAGTCACAGCCACGGCCCGGTAGTGGGCTGGGCACGGGTGCCACTGGGCTCCAAGGGGATCTGGGCAGTGAGGCGTGGGGGGAAGCGGAGCCCAGGCAGTTCCAGGCCAGCTCGGGCTTGGCATGCTTGGCTCTTCAACTAACTCATTTTAAACAGAAACGTGTGTCTTAATGGTGAAACGTAAATTATTAAAATGGAACATTTTTTAAAAGCAAATGGCAGTATCTGTATTCATCCCTTGTGTTCTCGCCGTCGACACAGTTCCCTTTAAGTCTTCTCCTGGGACAGAACACGGAGAGCGGCTGGTGAGACGCGGCTGTGGGCCCAGGACAGGGCTCCGGCCCCACCGCGCCCGACAGCAGACAGTGTGCACAGGCTGAGGCAGCGTCCACGTCACCGCCAGCCTCACGGGCTGCAACTGCCCGCGTGTAAGCCAAGGTGCCCTCACACCATGACCCTGCCCTCGCCCACATGTCCAGGGTGCAAGTCCCCCACCAGGTGACACAGACACTCGGGAGGCTCCTGGCACAGGCCTGGCCCTTGTCAGCAGCTCAGGAAGCAGTAGAGGTCTCTGTCCTGGGTACTCTGACAACTGTCCCCCCTGGCAGCAGAGTCAGTCAGGCTCCCTGGCTGCAGGCACAACTGCACAGGTCCAGACCCAAGGCTGCCCACCTGCCCACCCAAATCCTGCATTCCACGGCTCACGGCGCCTCCACTCGGCCCCATCAGGCTTTGTGCAGAGCAGCTCCTGTTCAGTGGGCTGGTGCCACTCACCCTCAGCCACCCTCCTCCAGTCCCAGGCTAGACGCTGCTCCCGGGATGGCTCTCCTTGTTCCCCACCCACGCCGATCTCCTCCCCAAACCAGCCCCACACCTACCTTGGGGTCTTGGGTCAAGGTTGGCCTCTGTAGTGGGGGGAATGATGCCCCCAAAGTATGCCCATGTCCTAATCCCCAGAACCTGTGCACATGGCCTCCTCTGGAAGGAGTGTTTGCAGTTGTGATTCAGTGAAAGGCTTGAAGGTCGTCCTGAGGTACCTGGACCGATGGTTACCCGAACAGACGCTTGGGTTCCCTAAACCTGACCACACACTGATTAGAGAGACCACGAGACGCTCCAAGACTGCGTGAGGACAGAGGCAGAGGCCGTCGCAAGGCCGAGGACGGCAGGGGCAGCAGCGGCTGCAAAGGCCGGAGCAGGCCAGCCCTGGCTACACCCGGTCTTGACACTTCCACCTCCATGCTGGGGTTGGGGGGGAATGCATTCCTGGGGTTTGAAGCCCCTCTATGTGGAGCTCTGTTACGGTAGCCCGGGAGACTGAGACTAATTATCAAGATACCCGACCAAGGAGCCGCCAACAGCTCTCCAAGACCTGCCCTGATCTCACCTGAGGTCCACTCCGGAGCCCCTGGGCCCTGTGGTCTGTGAGCTCCTCTGCCCAGGCCTCCACTGGTTTGCCAGGGAGGGAAAAATGCCAACAGCTAGAGTCTGGCTTCAGGGTGGACTTGAGGGAGCTGTCCCAGCATCAGAGTGAGAACCAGGCCCAGACCAGAAGGGGGTCAAGCTGCCCAGCAGCCCAGGGCGGGCCTGGTGCAGACTGCTCACAGCTAGGGGCTACGGGGGCCTGTGAGGGGACTAGGGCACGCACAGCACTGTGCAGGTGGCAGCCCTGCCTGCTCAGCATCTGGGCCCAGGCTCTTGCCCTCAGTGAGGAGTTGCTGCTGACCTAGATGGGGATCATGCCCATGGGTTTGTCGGCTCCCTGGAGGTGTTCTGGCCCATTTCGCCAGTGAGTTCCTGTCCATTTTCAGCCTCTGTGCAGCCACTGCAAGCAGACAGTGGAGGGATCCTGGGGCGGCCCTCCTTTCTGTGGACTTGAGGCCCAAACAGGCCAAGGTGGAGGGGGCTGGGGGAAGCCTCAGAGCGCGCCTCACTGGTGATGAGACCCTGACCATGGCCGGTGGAGGCCTGTGGCTGCGTGGAGAAAGCGGATGCTCTGGCTGGCTTGGGTGGGCAGCGAACAAGAGCAGGCTCCTCTTCCAGGGCTAGCAGCGGAAGGAAAGAGGAAGGATGGCTGCTGCCTAGAGGGAGGTAGGGCTGCCCACGTGGCCTCCAGCAGAAGCTGCCTGGGTCGACGAAGGGATGGGCAGGACGGCTGTGGCCCTCCACGAGGCCAGCCCCATCGTGAAGACAGTGCGAAGCTGCCACGTGGCTGTTCTGCTGTCAGATCAGGGGTAAGCAGATGACTTCTGTTTTCTTGGGCTTAAACACTTGTGAAAACACTTGTGAAAACTCTCTAATGTATAAAGCACTTACGGGTGGGCCTGGCTACACCTAATAGAAAACCCAAATATCAGTGATTTAAACCAGAGAGGGATACATTTATTTTCTCACATTTAAAAAACAAAACTGAACACAATAGTCCGGGGCAGGTGCATCAGCAAAGGCCCAGGTCCTTCCTGCTTTCTGCTCCACTGCCCTCAGGGTGCGGCTCCTTCTCCACGCTCTCAGCTACGCCAGTGCCAGTGTCCATGTTGTGGACAGAAAGAAGGCACGTGCCAGCCGAGCCCCCTTCATGGGAGCGCCCCTGCAAGTCTCCCCCAGCACCATCCCCTCCATGCCAAAGCTGCACACCCAGCTGTCAGGGAGGCCAGGAGGTGGCTCGTCTGCCCCATCGTCAGAACCGGACAGCGGCACTGGGGTTCTGATAGTAGGGAGGAAGCAGAATGGACGCTGGGTTAGCAACCTGCAGTCCCCAGCACAGCCAGGACTCAGGCAGGGGTGATCCCCACTAAAAGCGGAAGATTTCATGCTGGGCTGCAGGGGAGAGGTGCTTGGCTGGGGTCCTGCCTTCTCCTAACAAGCATGAGGCTCTTGTTAAAGATTTACCCAGTGAAGGTGGCCTGTGGCCCAAAGGCACCCAGTCCCGCCTCAGCGCATTCCAGGACTTCCAATCCACCCTGGCACGGGGAGACCTGGGGCACGCCTGTGTTTGCACACACACACTCCTGACTTCTATAATTTATAAAATTCGCACTGTGCTTGTTGGAACGGATGGAAAGGCAAATATGTATAAAGTTCCCCTCCCTATGTCCCACCCCAGGCTGAACCCTCCTGCCCCAAGCTGACTCTTCTGCCCCAGGATAACCCTCTTGCCCCAGGCTGAACCCTCCTGCCCCAGGAGGTCTGGGGGAGGAAGGTTACCCTGAGGTCTTCTGCCCCAGGACAACCCTCCCTACAGCCTTTCCTGCGGTAGGGCCTCTGGGGTCCTTGTAGGTCCCTGAGAAACACTCCCATCCTGGACCAGTGCTGGAACGTACTCCGGGGATCTCCCTAGCCTGGTGAGCCTTGAATGCTGGACCGTAGGGACGCCAGCACACGGATGCCACTGGGAGCAAGGAATGTGCTGTGGGCTCAGCCGCTGCCCCAGGCCATCGCCACTCAGCCACATCATCGAGCCACACAGCACCTAACCCCCTTGGCACCAACAGGCAGCAAGGGGCGCCTCAGTTCTGCACTCCAGGGTTTAGGAAGCCGGCCGCAGCTGAGCTGACGCCGAGGGGCCACAAGGCGTCCCAGGTTTTGCGAGAGCTCCTTCTAAGGCCGAGGCTGAGTCCAGACGTGGGGCCAGATTCGAAAGAATGGAGGACAAGTCCAGAAAGAGGAGGGCTCTTGCTCGTGAGAAGGTACGCCAGCTCCCCACTTGCCCTAGATCCTAGGCTGGGTCTGGGTTCAGGAGGACTGCCCCTCCAGACCAGCCCACCCGTTCAGCCCATGGGCGGCCCGCGCGGTCACAGGTCCTGCAAGTTCAGCAACTCTCGGCTCCAGGCGCGCCTGCCTCCAGCCCTTCAGGACATCAGGGACAGGCTTCCTGCGCCGTCTGACCCCCATCCTCCGCCACACCCCTCAAAGTCCTTAGTTGAACTCTTCTTAGTTAAATCCTAGGCTGACACGGAAGGAAAAAGCCAAATCTCATCGCAGAAGACCTTTAGTTGAGATGCACATGCCCAAGGCCCTGCCCCAAAAGCCCTGGGCCTCCCATTGAGGAAGAGGCGAGGAGAACAGACAGGCCCCACCACGGCTGTGCGCAGGCTCCTCTGTGATGGCCGGCAGCAGAGCCCTCCCTCAGCACACCTGTATCATCATCGACGTCACCATGTTATCAAAGGCCCTGCCAAGAGAAACGAACCCACTCAGAGGAGCCAGGCCCTTCAACCCTCTGCTCACAGAGAAAGGCCCGACAGCATGACCCCGTCCACAGGATGCCTGGGGCCTTCTCTAGGGTTCAAAAATGTAAACTTGGCTGAGGCCAGGACAGGAGTCCCACCCCCCGGGCAGAGAGGACCCATCTGCTGCCTCCAAGTTCCCTGCGCAGTCTTCCGAGGCCCCAGGCTGGGATGGAGAGAGCATGGCCCTGCGGGGCGGTGGTGTGGCGAGGACAGCTCCATGCAGCCCAGGAGACAAGGCTGCGCGGACATTCGCCTGCCTGCTCCCATCTGGGACCCAGGAGGGCCCCGAGACAGAGTCCTGGTGGAGGGAAGGGCCTGGCCTGGGTCACTGCAGCACCGTCGTGCCTACCAGCCACAAGGAATTCTGTCTTGGAACTGGGCACTTGCTGGAAGCACGTCTGGAGTGCAGGCGTGGACCCTGTTTCCTTCCTGATGTTCAAAAGTTAAGTCTGTTTACTTTGTGGGCTGTTGGGAAGATGCCTGCCACCAGGTTCCTGACTGTCCAAATTCAACATAAAAGATCGGGTAGTGACAAGAGGACATGTGCTCCCTGAAAGCCACTGCCCATGTGCTTGGCCCTTACTGAGTCCTGCAGGTGCCCCAGGTACCCACTGGGCACACCTGGGAAGCCGAATGGGCGAGCTCTGCTCCCTGCACCACACACACACACGCTGCTGTCATCCACTTTACGAGCAGAGCTGTGTAAAAGCTGGTGTGGAAAAACAGGGCTTTGCAGCTTGAAAACCTCGGCCTCAGGCGGGCGGTGCGCAAAGCTTAGAAAGAGCCCCCCCCTCCTTTTCTTTCCTCTTTTTATTTCCTTTTGTTTCCTCTTCTCCTCCCTTATTTCCTAAATGGTTGCATTTTGGCAACCGAAACTGCAAAGCAGAAAGAACGTGGTGAGACACAGAAAGCAGGGCCCACCTGGACTGAATGCGGTCCCCCGGGTTGTAGAAGGGGTTGCACATCACATCCGTGTAGGAGTTGTGCAGCTTCCGGAACATCTGAAACAAGACCCGGCGAAGTTTACGACCACACGCACACGGTCAGGGCCCAGTTTTTGGTTTCTCAGCATTTCAAAACAAAGCGAACAAGGAAAAAAACACCCACTCAGGCATGGCCTTCCAACCCGACTTACGCTGCGAATTTCGTTGTCTCGAAGGGCTGTGTTGGAGGAATCCACCACCATGACAAACTTCACCTTGGAGTTGGTGACATAGCCGTATCTGCACAGCTGGTTAGGGAAGGCGCTCGTGACAAAGTGACTGCTGGGACAGCAGACGAGGCATCTGGCGGCGGAGGGCCCTCTGTGTGCCCTCACTTTGGAGAAACGCCCAGGCTGGGCTGGTCCTGCAGTGACCGTGCTGGGTGCTAGTATAAAGACTTCGCCAGGGTGACGCCTGGTGTTTGCGGGAGAAGCAAAAGGGCAGGCAGCCAAGCCTCACCCAGCTTCATGCTCTGGGAGCCGAACCACCTAGACTCCGAGTCCGTCTATGCGGAACGCCTGCCCCTCTTTACAAATCAGTGCCTGGCCCAGAAAGTTAACTGCAAAACCAGAGATTTTGTGAGCAAGGTGGATCCCCTCTCTAGAGGCCACATCATCTTGTACAACAGTGGGTGGCAGGAATGTCAGGTGGACAAGCAACATTACAGCTCCTGGGAAGGTCTTTGTACCCCATGGCCTCAAATGATTTGTCTCAAGGGGCTAGGTGGGAGTTTCTAGTGACATATGAGGCATGACCTAACAAGATAAATGAAACTATTATCCCATGCTTAAAGGTGGTAGCTGCCCTTGAAAATCACAGACAGATATCCTTGCAGGTACAAAGCAGGAGTGTCCCAGCTCTTCTGCAAACCAGACAATGGACACGTAAACCAAAATATTCCACAGGGAATTCCAGCCTTTTGGGTTTTTTTTTTTTTTTTTTTTTGAGTCAGAGTCTCGCTCTGTTGCTAGGCTGGAGGGCAGTGGGGCGATCTGGACTTACTGCAACCTCTGCCTCCCAGGTTCAAGCGATTCTCCTGCCTCAGCCTCTGGAGTAGCTGGGATTACAGCTGCCCACCACCATGCCCGGCTAATTTTGGTAGAGATGGGGTTTCACCACATTGGCCAGTGATCCGCTCCTGACCTCGTGATCCACCTGCCTCGACCTCCCAAAGTGCTGGGATTACAGGTGTCAGCCACTACGCCCGGCCAGAATTCTAGCCTTTCTCTTCCCAAATGATTCTTCAATGCAAAAGAAGAGTGAGAGGGCTTCATTTGCCTCAGGCTTCCCTAGTTCCCTGACTGGCTAAAACCCTCACCTTTTTTTTTTTTTCTTCTGAAAGGTTTCAAATGATCTGATCCTAAAGTCCATCCCATCGTAGGCGCCCCCCCGACCTATACCCTGCACTGAAAGATACACCTTGTAGTCCTCCGTGGGGTAGAGCAGGCCCAGGTACAGCTCCCTCTGGTCGACGAGGGCCTTCCCCATTGCAGAGATCTTCTCATCCACCACATCCAGAGATGTGTGTACCATGTAGTGGAACTTCAGCTCGTTCTCCGTGGGGGTACTGCGGATGTAGAGAGGGTAATTCTGCAAGAAAGGATGACGGCGTCTCAAAGGACAAGACTCCACCCAGCCAGCTCTGAACAACGCTGCAGAGCTGTGACCTGCAGCCACTGAGGCAACACATTCTCCTTCTCTAAGGCCCAATGCTTCACTCTCCATGCCGCGGTGGGCACTGCCTTCGGGGGATCCCATGTCACCTAAGGAGATTTATGTGTTGTTTGCAAAGCAGCAGCAGCAGGGTGGGCAGAAAAGAAAAGACAATTCAGAAAAATGGGCCTGAGCACAGCCTGAGGATCCAGCCTGGCACCTGGGCAGGCCTGTCACCTTCTCCTGGAGGACACTCTGCCTCAGCACATCTGCCTGGGTCACGCAAACACGGCAGCACCCTATATGCTGGCTTTTCTTCACCTTGACAGCAACCTTTTACTAAATCCTTCAAAGACTCAGCTCAAATACCCTTCATCTCTGCAGTTCTGACCATCCTAAGCCCACAGTTCACAGCTCACTTCCTGGGCTTTCACAGGCCACCATTCACCCTGTGTCTGTTCAGCACTGGGTCCTGCAGAAATACCATGAACAAGAGTCCTGGCCACCCTCGTGGAGCCACGTGATACATACTCAGCAAACCCACAAGCAAGCAAAGGATCATGTGTGGCCCATGCCAGGAGGGAACCCATGAGAAGCTTAGCAGCACCCACGGCCCCACAGGGAGCGGCCTTCAGAATCTGGTCTCGAGGGAGGCCACAGCTAGGAAATAAAGGCTTCAGGCAGCAGGAGCACGTGGACCGGCACCCAGCTCAGTCTTGGCCTTCAGAAAATGCCTTCCACAAGAAATGCATGTGGCCCAGTAAAGAGGATGGGAGCTAGGAAGAGATGTTCCGCGTGGAAACGCCCAGAGGTGAGAGGGCAGAGCCTGCCCAGGGAGCTGCAGAATTCAGTCTGGTTGGAGCGGAGGATGCAAGGGTTATGGGGAGAGAAGATCTCAAACCAGGGTATGCAGACAGCACCCCAGGGCAATGAGAAGCCACTTCAGAGATTTCAGGCAGAGGCGTGACAGGATCTGGTTTGTGTTTAAGGTGGCACCGGGGAGACTGGCAAGAGGGCCGGGGACGCCGTCGGGGGGCGCCAGCGCTGGCCGGGAGAACGGGCAGAACCTCCCGAGGACGGAGGACGGAGGCAGTGCCTCGGACCACCTAGGTGTCTGGTGGGTCCTGGCGGGGAGGAGGCCTGGGGAGCAGAGCGGGGCGTTCAGCAGCGGGACGGGCGATCGCGGAGCTGGGGGCCCAGGGTCTGCCGGGCGGCCCGTTCACCGCGGAGCGCCTGACCCCTGGAGCTCGGCGAAGGCCTCCAGGTCCCATTTCCTAAGGCGCCTTCCAGGCCCAGGGAAGAAGAAGAAACACAGTGCAGAGGCGAGGATGGTGCGGGCCCGGGCGGCCCCGCCGCGAGTACGCACCTCCTTGGCGATCACCGCGACGCACACTGCCATCTTGGGAGGCCCGGCGCCGGGCACCGCGTCACGTGACCCGCCGCCGGTCACGCGGCCTCCGGAGCACCGCCCACACGCGGCTGGCTCAGGCCCCGCCCCACCCGTCACGAGGCCGTCCAGGCCCCGCCTTCCGTCACTCCGCAGGTTCAGGCCCCGCCCCACGGGTCACGCGGCCGTCCGGGCCCCGCCTCCGCCGCTTCGCGGGCTCTGGCCCCGCCGCACCAGTCACGAGGCCGTCCAGGCCCCGCCTTCCGTCACTCCGCAGGTTCAGGCCCCGCCACACAGGTCACGCGGCCGTCCGGGCCCCGCCTCCGCCGCTTCGCGGGCTCTGGCCCCGCCCCACCCGTCACGAGGCCGTCCAGGCCCCGCCTTCCGTCACTCCGCAGGCTCAGGCCCCGCCCCACGGGTCACGCGGCCGTCCGGGCCCCGCCTCCCGCCGCTTCGCGGGCTCTGGCCCCGCCCCTCGAGTCCCAGCCCGTCCAGGCCCCGCCCCGCAGTGCGGCCGGAAGTGCTGGCGGCGTCTCTCGCGGTCCGCTCGCCGGTGCGGGCTGCGCGGTCCGGTGTTGCCATGGCGGCGGTTGTCGCGGCGACGAGGTGGTGGCGGCTGCTGCTCGTGCTGAGCGCCGCGGGGATGGGGGCCTCGGGCGCCCCGCAGCCCCCCAACATCCTGCTCCTGCTCATGGACGACGTGAGTGCGGGCGGCGGGATGCGGCTGCGCCGTGGGGCCGGGTCGCGGTGCGGGGAGGCCCCGCGGGGGCGGGAAGGTGGGGCGGCGCCGCGGAGGGGGTAGCCCCGCGGGGGCGGGAAGGTGGGGCGGCGCCGCGGAGGGGGGCGGGGGAGCGGCCGTCACCGGCCACCACCCGCGCTGCCCGGCAGCGTCCTTTCCTGCAGGGGGGTGTCGGGGTGCTCCCGGGCCCTGCCCCCGCCGGCTCCCCTTTCCCGCCCTCGGCGCTTGGGAAGGTGAGCGCGCGGCGTGGCCACCCGGAAGGAGGACGGGGCCGCTCGCGCCGCCCTGCTGGGACCTGCGTCTCAGAGCCGCGTGGGAATCCCTCCCGGGTGCCCCCCGGGGCTCCAGGCTTAGCCACGGGTGATTCTGCCCCCTGCTGAGCAGAGGTCCGGTGTCCCCGAGGTCCGGAGAGCGGAGAGGCTGAATGTCCCCTGGTGCGCAGGTGCGGGGTCAGGGGTCACATAGCCGACCTGGAGACTCAGGAGTGAGTTCCCCGAGGGAGGACCCCAGGCACACCTGCGTTCAAACCCGACTGTCCCCAAGCCGGAGCCTCCTGACGGGTGGGGGGGTGTCACACCCGCCCCGCGGTGCCCACGTGGTGTGTGAGGACGGGGGCCACACTGGGTGCCGGACTGCTGGCTGCGGACTGGCACAGACCCTGGCAGGGGCCTTCGGACCCACCTGTGCTGACCAGTATGGGGGCCATGGGCCACATGCGGGGTCTGGGCGGTCGTGGCGGTCATGTAAATTACACTCAGATTTGGAAGACTTGGTGCAAAAAAAAAAAATGAAATATCTCACTTAACAATTTAACTTCTTGAATTAATGATTTTTTACCATAAAGATATGCCAGAGAAAGTGGTAGACACCACCCATAGTTTCACTACTCAGGGGTGACAGCCCTGGGCTGCTGCTTTTCCATCTCATGTGTCTATGGGTGTGCAGTGACTGCTTTCCAGAGCGCACCCTCCCCCGCTGCGGGCCCCAGTCCTGACAGCAGTTGGCAGGCCTTGCCCAGTACTGAGTGGAGTCTCCCTTAGAAAGATACTTTGTTACAGAATTTCGTCTTTTTTTTTTTTTTTTTTTTTTTTTTTTCCATAAGACAGAGTTTCGTTCTTGTTACCCAGGCTGGAGTGCAATGGCGCGATCTCGGCTCACCGCAACCTCCGCCTCCGGGGTTCAGGCAATTCTCCTGCCTCAGCCTCCTGAGTCGCTGGAATTACAGGCACGTGCCACCATGCCCAGCTAATTTTTTGTATTTTTAGTAGAGACGGGGTTTCACCATGTTGACCAGGATGGTCTCGATCTCTTGACCTCATGATCCACCCGCCTCGGCCTCCCACAGTACTGGGATTACAGGCTTGAGCCACCGTGCCTGGCCAAGAATTTCGTCTTTTACTTCAGTTCTTCTGGGCCAGTGTAGATACTTTGTAACAGAATTTCATCTTTTCCTGTGTCATTCCCTCTGGGCCCGCATAGTTTCCTTGGGTGAACTGGGCTCTGCAGGTGAAGCCTTCCTGTTCAGCTTCTGCCTTTCCTGACTTTCTCAGATGACAGAGGTCTGTGTGAGGTGGGGCCCCATATCAATGATTTTTTATGTTAAAGATTTGTCAAAACAATAGTATTTTGCTTATGTTGTGTTAAATAAAATGTAAAGTTAGGCCAGGTGTGATGGTGCACACCTGTAATCCCAGCACTTTGGCAAGCTGAGGCATTTGGATCACGAGGTCAGGAGTTCAAGACCAGCCTGGCCAACACTTTGAAACCCCGTCTGTACTGAAAATACAAAAATTAGCTGGGTGTGGTGGCAGGCACCTGTAATCCCAGCTACTCTGGAGGCTGAGGCAGGAGAATCGCTTGAACCTGGGAGGCAGAGGTTGCAGTGAGCCGAGACCTTGCCTTTGCACTCCAGCCTGGGCGGCAGACTGCCTCATCAAGTTAGCTTGCATTTCACCTACTTCTGCCTTTCTAACATGGCTCCTGGTAAATACAGAATTGCATGTGGACTCCCTCTGTGTTTCTGTAGGACAGCGAGCGTTCAGGCCGTGCAGGGGTGAGGGGTGAGCACTCGGGAATGCTTGCACATGGGGGAAGGTGACTGGGAAGCTTTGCCCAGCTGGGCACCTGTGCTGTGGCCTCTTCTGTGTGGTTCGTGGGGTCCTGTGGCAGCTGACGCTTAAAGAACCCCCGAGGAGCCCTGTCCTGCCTGGTGGGTGTCCTTGTTAGGACTTTCTGATGCAGACAGCAGAAAACAAAGTCAAAGTGACAAGCACAAATGGGAATTTCCTGGCCCTCCTGACGACACCCCAGGGCCGCCCAGGCCGTTTCCCCTTTCGGGGCTCTGCTGTTTCTGAACTGGCCACATCCTCACTCAGCCGGTGATGGTCCCAGGCGACTCCAGGTCACCCCTACAGTCAGCAGGCCCAGTGGGAGGTTGGCTCTGCCCCAGTCCTGTGAGCCTGACGTGGGTCTCAGCTCTTCGCCATGCACACTGGGGGAGGGGCGCATGCTGACCTGACCAGCCCAGGCCTCGGAGCCTCCAGCCTACTCCGGAAGGGAGACCACCCCTGCTCATATCTGCCTGGACCCAGCAGAGGGGGTTTCCTGGAGGGCCCATGGCACAGCTTCCAGGAGGGGGCTGGGATGCTGGCAGGTGAGAGCCACAGAAGCTGGCAGTGGAGCCCTGAGGTGCCCTGATATGGCCCAGGGTGTGAGGGTGCAGCCTCAGGAGCATGGGGGTCCTCACAGGCTGTCTTCTGTCCTCAGAGCCCAGGTTCCCTCCACAGCCCTGTGCACACCTCTCCCTGCCTGGCAGACTGGCTGTTTCTGCCAGGGTGCTGGTGTCTGAACCTGCAACAGGTCATTCAGGCTCTGGCATGACACAGGGTGGCTTGGTGACCTGCGGCACTGGGCCCCGAACCACCTGAGCATGAGTGTGTGTGTCTCATGTTCAGAGTTTTGGAGCACGGCCCTCCACAGACTGGTTGCCCGTGGCCCAGTCTCTCCCTGTCCAGTCCTCTGGCTGGGCTCTGGGGCCTGGACCTCCCTTTCATCTGAGCAAGTGCAGTTTCAGAAAAGGGATATCCCCAAAACTACCTTATTGTACCCCTCATGGCCAGAAGCCATTCTCCAGCCGGTCACACTGGCCTGGGAGAAAACCACAGCCCCCATACCCTCCCCTCACAGCCAGGACCAGAAGAGGAGGCTGGGACTGGGGGATGAGAGCAGCTGGCAGGACCCCCACCTGTCCAGGAGGAGCTGAGCTGGCTGCGGTGAGGACAGGCCCACCCACAACTGCTCTGCCCTGGCCTTTCACTGACCCGCAGTTCGGCACAGCCTGGCTCCGAAGCACCCCGGCACCTGCTGCCCAAGCGAGGATACCCGCATGGCCTGCCCTGCTCTCCAGGGCTGCTGGAGCCTTGGAGACAGGCAAGACCCAGTGACAAGCTCCGCTCTGGCCCTCACATGGCTCCTGCCTCCCAGGGCCAGCAGCGCTCTACGTCTCTGCTCCTTACTTGGGAAATAGGGTTAAGGAGCATCAGCCCTAACCACACCAGAAGTGGAGACTCAGGGCCACCAGGCCAGCTCCTGTCGCCGCAGCAGCCGTCTCGAGCTGCCAGAGCCAGGGGGAGGGCTGCTCGGCACCTCTCATTTGAAACAGGCAAGCACTGGCCTGCTTGTCTTTGTCATACTCCCATGGCAACCAATAGGAATGGAAACTGCATTTCTTAAAACTCTGAAATTCTTTTTTTTTTTTTTTTTTTTTTGGAGACGGAGTTTCGCTCTTGTTACCCAGGCTGGAGTGCAATGGCGCGATCTCGGCTCACCGCAACCTCCGCCTCCTGGGTTCAGACAGTTCTCCTGCCTCAGCCTCCTGAGTAGCTGGGACTACAGGCACGCGCCACCATGCCCAGCTAATTTTTTGTAGTTTTAATAGAGACGGGGTTTCACCATGTTGACCAGGATGGTCTCGATCTCTTGACCTCGTGATCCACCCGCCTCGGCCTCCCAAAGTGCTGGGATTACAGGCTTGAGCCACCGCGCCCGGCCAAAAAACTCTGAAATTCTTAAGGATGCTGCTCTGTGGCTCACAGCTGTGCTCACTGAACATGGACAATCATTTGGGGACTTTTAGAACTTTTTTTTTTTTTTAATAAGATAGAGTCTGTCTCTGTTGCCCAGGCTCGAGTGCAGTGATGTGATTTCAGCTCACTGCAACCTCCTCCCAGATTCAAGCGATTCTCCTGCCTCAGCCTCGGAGTAGCTGGGATTACAGGTACCCAGCACCACGCCCAGATAGCTTTTGTATTTTTAGTAGAGATGGGGTTTTACCATATTGGCCAGGCTGGTCTTGAACTCCTGAACTCAGGTGATCTGCCCGCCTCAGTCTCCCAAAATGCTGGGATTACAGACATGAGCCGCTGCGCCCAGCTAGGAATTTTTTTTTTTTAAGACACGGTCTGGCACTGTCACCCACGCTGGAGTGCAGTAGCTCGATCACAGTTCACTGCAGCTGCAAACCACTGGGCTCAAGCAATTCTCCTGCGTCAGCCTCCTGAGTAGCTGGGATTACAGGCAGCCGTCACCACGCCCAACTAATTTTAAAGTTTTTTTAGTGACATTGTCTCTCTGAGACCCAGGATGACCTCGAACCCCTGAGCTCAAGCAATCCTCCCTCCTCAATGTCCCAAAGTGCTGGCATTAGAGACACTGTATCCCATCCTTTTAGGACTTTTAAGGGAGAGAAGAAAGGTGCTTCCTGCCCGTGGTGCTCTGCAGGGATTGTAGATGTCTGCATGGCAACCTGCCCACTCTGCAGGGAAGCTGTCCACACCTGTTCTTCATACCGAGAAAGCTGCCGATAACTAAGGAGAGAATGGGGTCAGCAGATGAGAGCTGGCCCAAGCAGCCTGGACGCTGTCCTCAGAAGGCCCACGTGTGGGAGGTTGCCCTCGGCTGGCATCTGGGAGCTGGGAATGGGTGGTCCCCTCGCTGTTCCCGATACGAGTGGCTCACCTTGCCACAGGTTTCGCAGATGCCATGTTTTATGCCCAACGCCTTCTTTCCTCCTGGGCCTCGAGAGTCAGCAATGCTAAGCAGAGGGGGCCGTACCGCCAGCCTGGGCGTAAGCTCTGGGAACTGAGTCTCGCGGCTTCCCCGTGAGTGCGTGGCACCTGCGCTTGCAGCCCGAGCGTCTCGTGGCTCCACTGCGGCAGGGTTCGTGCTGCCCCTGATCTCCCCCATCCCGCCGCCACCTTCTCCCCTGGCTGTGGCAGTGAGTGGGACTGTTGGCTGAGCCCTGGGGCTCCTCCCAGCAAGAGTGCTCCGCTTGCGGTATCCTCCGAGTCAGTGATGAGCATCGAGCCCACTCCCTTTAGGGTATTTTCTGCTGCATCCATTCATGTTCTCTGAGCCCTGGAACAGGTGAAAGAGTGACCAGGTGAGCACAAGCAGATCAGGCGCAGCTCTGCTGACCGCTGACCTTCTATGGAGGCCAGCCTCCCTTCAGGAAGCCTCAGGACGTAGCCTGCAGGGAGAGTTGGGGCGCGTGGCACCCAGTATTCAGATGTGGGCCTGGGCGTGGGCAGACATTGTAGCGGGAAAAACATGCCACTCCCCTCTCATCCCAGGAGGGCGCGGGCCATTCCAGCAGCCCTGGGCTGCCTCAGCTCCTTACCTCCCCTGCCTCCCTGTATTCAGGCCAGCCACAGGCCCCAAGTCTGACTGTAAATGTGGATGGGATGTCCCTTCCCAAACAACAGAGGCAAAGACAGAGGCCTCATGCCCCCACCCCGTCCCCCTTTCTCTGCTCTCCCACCTGGACTGGATACCGGGGGGGGGCAGAAGCCCAGCCACCTGGAGGACGAATGTGCATGCGGGGAGGCGGAGGGCAGGGAGCCCTGGGCATGTGTGCAGTCCCCTCCGGCTGGCCTCAGGGGGCTGCTGTGTCCAGGCCTGCACTACAGGTCTCCGCTGCCTTGACGGGATGCACCTCAGCCCAGGGTGGGCACATTTGCCCGGGCTCCTCCGTGCTGCTTCTCAGCTCGGGAGCGGCTCTGCAGGCACCCCTCCCCTCTCCTCTCACGTCCCTTTCTTCCTCATCAGCCTCAGCGGTCACCTCTCTCCAGACACCTCCATTGTCCTCAGATGAAAAAGCCATTTCAATGACTTCAAAATAAACCATCTCAAAGATGGGTGCCGTGGCTCATGCCTGTAATCCCAGCACTTTGGGAGGCTGAGGCGAGTGGCTTGCTTGCACTCAGGGGTTTGAGACCACCCTGGGCAACACAACGAAACCCCGTGTCTACTAACACACAAAAAATTAGCCAGGCATGGCAACATGTGCCTGTAGTCCCAGCTACTTGGGAGGCTGAGGCAGGAGAATTGCTTGAACCTGGGAGGCAGAAGATGCAGTGAGCCAAGATCATGCCACTGCACTCCAGCCTGGCTGACATAGGAGACTTCATCTCCAGACAAACAAATCAATCAATCAGTCAATCAGTCATATCAGGGCTGGGCACGGTGGTTCATGCCTGGGATCAGCACTTTAGGAGGCTGTGGGAGGTGGGGGCAGGCGGATCCCTTGTGCTCAGTTTGCTCAAGACCAGCCTGGGCAACGTGGCAAAACCTCACCTCTATCAAAAATACAAAAAATTGGCCAGACACTGTGGCTCATGCCTGTAATCCCAGTACTTTGGGAGGCCGAGGCAGGTGGATCACCTGAGGTCAGCAGTTCAAAACCAGCCTGGCCAACATGGTGAAAGCTCATCTCTACGAAAAATACAAAAATTAGTCGCGCGTGGTGGCCGGCACCTGTAATTCCAGGTACTCAGGAGGCTGAGGCAGGAGTACAGCTGGAACCTGAGTGGCAGAGGTTGCAGTGAGCTGAGACTGTGCCACCGTACTTCAACCTAAGCAGCAGTGAGACTCCATCTCAAAACAAAACAAAAAAAAATACAAGAAGTTAGCTGGGCATAGTGGCATGTGCCTGTAGTTCCGCTGGTTGGGAGGCTGAGGTAAGAGGATCACTTGAGCCTGGGAGGCAGAGGTTGCAGTGAGCCAAGATCGCACCTGGGTGACAGAGTGAGATGCTGTCTCGGAAAAATAAACCATCCCAAAAGGGATCCAAAGCTGAAAGGGTCGAACAGAATGTTGTTCCAAGAGACGTGGAGGACCTTTGAGAGGAAAAAGCCCAGACCCGGCTCAGCTCGCAGACTCCACCTAGCAGCAGAGGCCGATGTGAGGAACGGGCACCCTGCCAAGCTGAGCCTTACAGGCAGGGAGGGGCCAGAAAGCCTGTTGTCCACCGGGGAGACAAACTGAAACCAGACAATAGACCAAGCTGTGACCATGCAGACCTGGACGTCCAGCCACCCATGTATGCCCAGGGCTGCCAGCTGTCGTCCGGGGGCCCAGCGCCATCCCTCCAGTGGCTGTGCCCTGTCAGCTGATGTGCCCGCCCAGGTGAGGGCTTCCTCTCTGTTCAGACCCCCATCTCCTCACACAGGTCCCAAGGCTGCTTGTTCTTTGAGGACCCAGAGAGTCAAACACCCTCCGGCCCCATCCCAAGAGAGTCAGGGGAGCCCCCAACCCGGTCTGTCTGCAGAAAACCAAGACGCCTGCACTCCCTTCTTCTCCAGCCGCTTTACTGAGATAGAATTCACTGGCGAAAATGCTCGGGTCATCAGTTCTAGTGTATCCTCAGAGTTGTGCAGCCACCGCACGTCTTCAGATGTTTATCCCGAGGAGGGAAGCCCCAGCCCCGACGGCGTGACTCCCTTGGCCCCCTGGAGCCCCTGGCAGCCCTGCTCCCCTTGCCGTCTCTAGGGATCTGTCTTTTCTGACATGTCAGGTGAATGGAATCATACAACTCGTGGGCTCTAACTTCTGCTCGCATGGGGTTTTAGGAGTTCACGCACGCAGCCTGTGTCAGGACTCCATTCCTTTCCGTGGCTGCGTCATAGTCCATGGTGCAGGGGGACCATGTGTGGCCAATGGTTCTGCCCGTGGACGGGCAGCCAGTGTTTCTCGCTTGGGCCTCGGAGAGCTTGCTGCTGTGGGTGTTGGTCTGTGCACAAGTCTCCACGTGGACAGACTTCAGTTCTGCTGGGCATGCACCCAAGTGGCGTTGCCAGGGCACGTGGCCACCCTGCGTGGCGCTGCCACACCTCTTCCCCAGGTGCTGTGTGTCGTGTTCTTACGCAGCCTGTGCAGGCTCCAGTTTCCAGTGAGTTCACTTTTTTTTTTTTTGTTAAAAAATGGGGTTTCACCATGATGGCCAGGCTGGTCTTGAACTCCTCACCTCAGGTAATCCACCCACCTCGGCCTCCCATAGTGCTAGGATTACAGGCGTGAGCCGCTGCACCCGGCCTGAGTTCACTTTTAATGTTTTGTTTTGTAAAAATCAGCCTTAGACAGTCAGTGATCAGACTGTTTGGTCTCTGCTGTGGTGAATTATGGAGGCACCAGAGTCCCTCGCCAGCCCTGTGAGCACCGGAGCCCAGGGATCCTGTCTTGGGGTCATTTGAAATGGTGCAGACTTTACAAAGGGCTGATGGGCAGGTGGGCCCACTCGGCCTCCAGGCGCAGCCCTCCTTGGGGTCCCTGATCGTCCATGCAGGCAGCAGTCCTGCTCTGTGGGTGAGTCCTAGGGCCGCTCGTGGCAGGAGGAAGCTGGGTGGGGTGAGTTTGGAGAAAAGTGGCAGTTTGTTGTCAGTGTTTTTTTTTTTTTTGAGTTGGAGTCTCGCTCTGCCGCCTAGGCTGGTGTGCAGTGGTGCGATCTCAGCTCACCACAACCTCCACCTCCCGAGCTCAGGGGATTCTCCTGCCTCGGCCTCCCAAGTAGCTGGGATTACAGGTACATGCCACCACGCCCGGCTAATTTTTTAATTTTTTTATGGAGATGGGGTCTCACTTTGTTGCCTACACTGGTTACCGAAAGAGAAAAGTATTTTAGAGATTTGAGGAAAGAGCCATAGATGTTGTCTCTGGTTGCTTCAGAGCTGTGGGTGGAGCTGTTTTGCTTCCTCCAGAAGGCTTTGGCTCCCAGACCTAAAACGCAGACACGGCTTGGTTTACTAAGAGCTTTCCGTCCCTGTCATCCAGGTGTGTCCACAGGCATGTCCGCAAGCGTCCACACAACCAGGCGTTGTGAATGTTTTTTCACATCAAGTGAGCATCTCAGGAACCCCCAGTCACACCCTCGGCTTACGCATCCCACGAGTCTCCTGGAACCACACACGGGGGCTAGGGAGCTTAAAAGAACAGAAATGGGTTCTTGGTCTGGAGACCAGAAGCCTGAGATCAGGGTGTGGGCAGGCCCTGGCTCCCTCGGACACCTTCAGGGGAGGGCCCTCTTGCCCTGCAGCCTCTGGTGGCCTCCAGCCATCTGAAGCCCATGGCTACATGGCTCCTGCCTCTGACTCCATTGCCGCACGGCCCTTTACCCCATCTCCTGTGAGGACTCCAGTAGCATAGGATGAGGGTCCACCCCAGTGTTCGTGACCTCGTCTTACCTGATCACATCTGCGGTAACCCTGTGTCGAACCAAGGTCACATTCCGAGACACACTGGGGCTAAGACTTCAGCTTCTGGGGCTACAGTTCCACCCGCTAACACCGATGAACTGCGGTTTGTGTGACCAAATCTCTGGTGTTCCCAGTGTCCCAACCACAGTTTTAAATTTGCATATTTAATAGGTTAGATGCAGCTGTAATTATTTGCTTAGGATAAACTCCTGCAAGTGGAATTGCTGGGCCAGGAACGTTTTTTTAAATGACAGGGTCTCACCTTGTTGCCCAGGCTGGAGTACAGTGGTGTGATCATGGCTCAGTGCAGCCTCAATCTCCTGGCCTCAAGTGGTCCTCCTACCTCAGCCTCCTGAGTAGTTGGGACCGCAGATGCACACCACCACACCTGGCTTTTTTTTTTTAAGAGGTGGTGTCTTGCTGTGTTGTCCGGGCTGGTCTGGAACTCCTGGCTTTAAGCAGTTTTCTAGTGATGGCTGTTTTTTTTTCAGACATGGATTGAATGTGGACCACCTGCTGTTTTTTAAACCCATAAGCCAGGAATGGGTTTTATAATTTTAAGTGTTTTTTTTTTTTTTTAAAAAGAATATTTCCTGACATGAAAAATTGTATGAAATCAGGTGTTGATGAATAAAGTTTTATTGGCACACAGCGTGCACATCTGCTCGCATGCCAGGGCTGAGCTGCTGTGACAGCCCCATATGGCCCACAAAGCTGAAAAGATTTGCTGGGAGGCCCTTTACATAATACATTTGTTGATGTTAGCTCTGAACATCTATATTTGCATTCGAATTGATTTCAAAAATAAAAGTGCAGTGAATTCAGCGGGGCCTGTCAAAGTGGTCATTGCGTTTGGAACGTTGCGTTTTTCCCAGGTGTTGCATGTTTGTGCTGCTGAAGGTGGCTACAATGGGCAGGCCCCAGGCAGGCACCTTCACTGCACTGATGTCTTGGTTGGTGCTTGGAGCACCTGAGCCAGCAGGGAATATGTCCCTAGAGAGGGAAGACAGGCAGGGCGGAGGGGCAGGGGGCAGGGGGGGTGGAGGGGCGGGGGGGGGGGGGGGGGGGGGTGGAGGGACGGAGAGGCGTTGACTGCCGCCAGGCTCCTGCTGAGGTGGGCACTCAGGGAGGTGCTGTGGGGGACCTCGTCCTTGCTGGAGAATCTAAGGACAGCCAAAGCCCCAGGTGGTGCTGGGCTGCCAGGGCAGAAGCTCTCTTTTCTTCTAGAGCAAAGTCCTGGCCCACTGCCTGTTTAAAAGTACTTTTTTCTTTCTTTTTTTTTTTTTTTTGAGACGGAGTTTCGCTCTTGTTACCCAGGCTGGAGTGCAATTGCGTGATCTCGGCTCACCGCAGCCTCCGCCTCCTGGGTTCAGGCAATTCTCCTGCCTCAGCCTCCTGAGTAGCTGGGATTACAGGCACGCGCCACCATGCCCAGCTAATGTTTTGTATTTTTAGTAGAGACGGGGTTTCACCATGTTGACCAGGATGGTCTCGATCTCTTGACCTCGTGATCCACCTGCCTCGGCCTCCCAAAGTGCTGGGATGACAGGCGTGAGCCACCGCGCCCGGCTAAAAGTACTTTTTTCAACAGTACACATAGCGAAGCTTAAAGAATCTTGCGGAAGCCTGGCCCTGCCCCTCCGAAGGGTCTGCCGTGGACATTTGCTGTGCTGCCACCGTCACACCGAGTGTCACCCCGGCCACCACGCTCCGTGCCCTGCGCTTACCCATCCTCTTGCTTGAGGTTTTGGAAAATACACAGAATGTAAAATTGACCGTTACAGCCACCTTAAAGTGCACCACTCAGGCAGTTATTTAGTGTTGTGTGTCCATCACTGGTTCCTACTTCCAGAACATTCCAGCCCAAGAAGAAACCCGTACCCACCAGCAGGCACTAACCTGCACCCACCCCCAGCCCCGGCAGCCACTCAGCCGCCGCATGCTCTGTGGACTGGCCTGTTCAGGTGTTTCCCATGAGCGAATCACAGACTGTGTGGCCCTCATGTCTGCTCCTTCCCTCACGTGAAGCTTCCCAGGTCCCTGCATGGTGTGGAGTACTGGTGCACGGTTCCTTTTGATGGCTGGGGAGCGTGCCGGTTACGTACGTGAGTTTCCCTGTGTCTGCTCCTTCCCTCAGGTGAAGCTTCCCAGGTCCCTGCATGGTGTGGAGTATTGGTGCGCTGTTCCTTTTGATGGCTGGGTAGCGTGCCAGGTACAAGCCTGAGTTTCCCGACACATTACACATTACCACAGGCCAGGTGGCCTGAGACAGAGAGATGTATTCTTGCTGGGTTCTGGAGGCTGGAGGTGCCGCTCAAGGTGTCAGCCGGGTCCTCCCTCTGGAGATCCTCGGGGAGAGTCCTTGCTGTCCCCTGGCTGGTGGCTGCACCACTCCAGTCTCATCCCCGGCCTTCGCACGGCCTCGCTGCTGCACGTCTGCGTCTGTAACTCCCTGCCCTCATAAGGGCCCGGTCATAGGATTGAGGCCCACCCTGGCCCAGCGTGGCCTCATCTTAGCCCACGACACCTGCAAACACCATACTTCCAAACGCGGCCACAGTCGTGTATTACGCACAGGCTGCACTTTGTCTGTCGTCCGCTCATGGGTGCTTTGGGTACTCCTGCCTTTTGGCCACTAAGTCACGCTGCCCTGGACGCACGTATGCAGGTCTGTGTGCGGATGTAAGTTTCAGTCTCTTGGGTGTGTAGCTGGGAGTGGAATTGCAGCAAGGAACCACAGGGTCACTTGATAATTAGGCTTGGGTTTTGAGGGACGGTGACCAGTTGATTTTGAAATCTAGATCTGTACAACAGACGTATGAGGGCTTATGCATTGACGATGAAAATACGTGTGCATGTTGAGGGCCTGGCTCCCTGGGAGCACACAGGTGCTGGTGTCAGCAGGGAAGGGGCAGGCAGACGGACGCATTCCTCACGTGAAGACCAAGCAAAGGTGGAGGTGACGTCCAGAGTAGCAGCCGCGTGGCACACGCACAGGTGCTGCTGGTGTTTGGCTGAGCTCTATCGCTGGAGGGCATAGGGTGACACTGGCTCCCATAGTCCTGACACGCTCTTGGCACCACGGGCAGCTCCGCAAGCCAGAAGCGCCACGTGCAGAAGGAGCTCATTCCTCCTCTCCATGCTCTTCCTGCAGATGGGGTGGGGTGACCTCGGGGTATATGGAGAGCCCTCCAGAGAGACCCCGAATTTGGACCGGATGGCTACAGAAGGCACGATTTTCCCAAACTTCTATTCTGCCAACCCCCTGTGCTCGCCATGTAAGTCAGTGCAGCCCTCGCCCCCAAGGAGGGGTGAGCCCTGCAGGCCAACGCCTCCCGTGTTCTTGCAGCCCAGACTGTGGCGGCCACATCAACCTTGTCTACCCCTGGGAGGTGCAGGGAGGACACCAGGTGGGCTCAGGCCCTTCTCATTGGTCCCTGCCTGGTTCTGTGTCGTGGGCTGCGGCTCCCGCCAGGTTTTCAGAGTCGAAGTTGCTGTGTTGTTGGCGGCTCCTGCTCTCTGTTCCCAGAGTTGGGTGCTGTGCCCACCTGGGGAGAGGCGCTGCAGCGTGGCTCTGTCTCGGGGTACCTGCGAAGCAGGGGTCCCACTCCCTTCCTCCCTGTGGAGAGTCTTCTGCTGGAGACAGAAACACGTGGTACTGGTCGTGAGGAAGATGGGAAAGCAAGGCACGGGGCCAGTGCTCAAGGATGGGGGGATGTGGACCTGTAAGCCCAGCGGGTGTCCCGGGGGTCAGCACACGGGGTCAGGGCCATGGGGACCTGCACGCCCAGCGGGTGTCCCGGGGGTCAGCACACGGGGTCAGGGCCATGGGGACCTGCACGCCCAGCGGGTGTCCCGGGGGTCAGCACATGGGGTCAGGGCCATGCGGACCTGCATGCCCAGCGGGTGTCCTGGAGGTCAGCACACGGGGTCAGGGCCATGGGGACCTGCATGCCCAGCGGGTGTCCCGGGGGTCAGCACACGGGGTCAGGGCCATGCGGACCTGCACACCCAGTGGGTATCCCGGGAGCCTGGGAGAGCAGGTGGGGCGTTGGGGACGACACTGAGCCGTAGCACCCATTTCAGTACAGTGGGTGCTGTGCTCTTGGGAGGCGGAGACACTAGCAGGATTGACAGGTGGGACGGCCCCTTGCCACCTGCACTTTCCTCATCAGTGAAGCACCTGTCTACCCGGCGGGGCTCTTGCTGATGAGAGTGTGGGTCTGAGCGTCACACTTCTCATCTGGTTTCTATTTCTGTCGTCTGCACGTAGCCAGGGCGGCGCTGCTCACGGGACGGCTGCCCATTCGCAACGGCTTCTACACCACCAACGCCCATGCCAGAAACGGTAGGCTGCCCACCGCAGTCTCCAGGGCTGAAGTTAGGGTGCAGGGCTGGGCCAGTGTCTCCTGCCCACCCTCCTTCATGGCCTGGGTTCTGTGGAGCAGTACCTGTCAGCCGGGGAGCCGTACTTCGTATCTGCTATGACAGGCGTCCTTAAGCAGATGGCCGCACCTCCATCCGGGACATCCTGCAGCAGGCAGGGTGCAGGTGGTGCCGGGGCCTCTGGGAGCGGGGGGAAGTGTAGGCTCCCCTTGGCTGGTTTCCTTCCCTGCCCTGGCCCAGAATGGACAGAGCAGAGGGTGCCCAGTTCAGCCTAAGGAGCTGGGTCTGCACCCTCGCCCCAGAAGCTCCCCTGCTCCCCAGAGGGTGAGCCGAACGCCCATGGGGAGGCCGGGGCTGTGGCGTCAGTGGCAGTTCTGGAATGCTCTGGAATCGCTGTGCTCAAGGAGTTTTGATGGGATCCCTAGAGGCATCTCACAGGGGAAGTGGGACTTCCAGTGGCCTTCGAGGAAAGGGAAGGACGGGGGACGCCTGGGTGAGGCAGTACAGCTTCACGTGGTATCTTCCAGAGTCCCTGGAGACCAGGTGGGAGGGAGGCCGGCCTGAGAGGCAGGGTGGGACCTGAGGCTGGGCCAGAGTCTACCCTGTCCCGCCCCCGGTGATGGCACTGACTCCGAAGGGTGCCTGGAAACGTCCTGGGAAGTGCCAAGCCCTGTGAATGTGCAGCCCCAGCCACAGCCTTTCACCCTGAGGGGCCAGTGTCCTGTCAGGATGAGGTGGGTGGTAGCTTCTCGGGGTCTACCCAGGGCTCACTAAGTGCTGCTCCTCCAGCCTACACGCCGCAGGAGATTGTGGGCGGTATCCCAGACTCGGAGCAGCTCCTGCCAGAGCTGCTGAAGGAGGCCGGCTATGTCACCAAGATCATCGGCAAGTGGTGAGTCTCCAGCCATGCCCGCCTGGGCGTCCTGCACCACCCACTTTCTGGCCTTGGTCACAAGGGATGTGGCTGCGAGTTTCCACACCAGGAAGGAGAGGAACTGCCCAGCAGTTGATGAAATCCTGCCTGGTGAGAGCTCAGGAGCCACACAGCATCCCGTGCTGCTGTTTCAGGCACATGGGACATTTCATTTCTTCTGCTCCCTGGGACGCCCCAGTGAGCCTGGAGGGTTGGGTCCAAGTCACATGTCCTGCATTTCTCTCCATCTGTTGGAGCGTTTCCCGCCTGTCAGGCCTGTGTGCCCCTCCTCCAGGAAGCCCATCTGTTTTCCCACCTCTGTGCTCCCTGTCTGCTGCCTGCAGCTCCTGCCGGCCCCCTTCGATGGCTGCTCCTTGGATATAGATGGTCACAGCAGCTGGAATTTGCTGATACTGATAGATGAGGAGGACCCAGAGGCTGCCTAGGGAGCGCTTTGTCACACTTCACACGAGAGGAAGCAGCCTGGGGGGCTGAGCGCTCAGAAAGCACAGGGCGGAGCTGACGGGCACAGCAGCCGCAGAGTCCGCACACAGGGAGGGCGGGCCCCATGCGGCCTGAACGGTCCCCAGCCAGTGCCAGGGGCCACGGCGGAAGTCTGCCCCTGAGGGCCACTGGAGCACGTCAGGGCTGTGCCAACAGGAGGAGAGCCGGTGTCCGCTCTGGGTGAAAGCCCCACGGTGGCCGGAGCTCTCTGCCCAGCCCAGAGGCTGTGTCTTGGTGCAGCGGCCTCCTGTGCATGCTCATTGGTGCTGGTGGCCAGAGCTGGAAAGGGAGCAGGTCTCCAGAGAGGCCTCGAAGCTCCCGAACAGCCCTCAGCAGGAGAGAGGGGACCCCGAGGTCTGGGAGCAGGAGCCAGGCAAGCCCCAGAGCCACAGCTCCTCCTGAGCTCAGGACAGGGTGCCGTGGCTGGGTGGCCAGGCCGGGTTCTTCCTGGGCTCAGGAAACAGTACAATGGCTGAGTGGCTGGGCCGGGTTCCTTCCAGGTTCAGGACAGGGTACAGTGGCTGGGTGGCCCGGGCTGGGTTCCTCCTGGGCTCAGAGCAGGGGGCAGTGGCCTGATGGCTGGACCAGGTCCTGCAGCAGCTGCTCAGGCAGGTCGGGGGTCCCCATCCCAGCAGGGTCCCCTCTCAGGGCAGTGGGGTGTTGTGAGCCGTGACTCAGACTTCCCTGCGGCACCTCACGTGGCCTCGAATAGAAGCTGCTTGACCTGCCCGAAACCACGCAGGTGCACAGTGCATGCGCTCGAGTTCCGGAGCGCTGAGGACGCCCCCTGCTCCAGCCCACCTGCTGGTGAGGGCCGGGCCTCACGGCTGCCTCCCAACAAGCATGTGGAGCCCACAGCATGGTCTGTGTAGGCTCCTGCTTGTGTGTTTCCCCTAAGCAAGGCCTTTGTGCTGGTGGACATGGACACACAAATCCGCTGTGCCTGGCTGGTGACCTGCCAGGGGTGTTCAGGGATGATGGGGTGCTCTAGCAGTGAGACCAAGTGCTGAAGACGCGAAGGAAACAGCCCTAAGTTGGCAGCCAAAGGAGCTCTGAGGTCACGGAGAGGTGCAGGTGACTTTGCCTTAGAGGAGATGGAGCAGCAGCTCTCCCGAGAGGGGAGACGGAGGAGGAGCTCTCCCAAGAGGGGAGACGGAGCAGCAGCTCTCCCGAGAGGGGAGAGGGAGCAGGAGCCCTCCCGAGAGGGGAGACGGAGCAGGAGCCCTCCCGAGAGGGAGACGGAGCAGCAGCCCTCCCCAGAGGGGAGACGGAGCAGCAGCTCTCCCGAGAGGGGATTGGGAGACGGAGGAAGAGCTCTCCCGGCAGCTCTCCCGAGAGGGGAGACAGAGGAGGAGCCCTCCCGAGAGGGGAGACGGAGCAGCAGCTCTCCCGAGAGGGGAG